GAGGCCCTCTGGCTCAGTCCACACTGCGAGGGGTGCAGGGGGACTTGGGGTGGCCCTGGGCGTTGCTGTGGCCCTGCCACGGGGCACACGGTGGTGGCCAGGGGCAGAAGCGGCAGGACAGACATGTGCAGGAGGGTTGGGTTGCTGTAGGGCAGGGAGTGGGGCAGGCGATGGGGTGGGATGGGGCTGGGAGGCGGCGGGTGCTGCTCCCACATGCCACCGAGTCCTTCTGCAGCCCTCAGCCACGACTTTACCGGGGCTCACCCGTGCAGGTGAGAGCGCAGGGATGGAGCCGGGTGGCCAGGTTGTGACTCCTGGGCTGTGTCTCCCTCGGGGTGATTCATGGAGCAGGATGAACGCAGCTGGGGCAAAGGATCCCAGCCTCTCTCCCAGCCTGCATCCACCTGCTATGTCTATATCCCCATCCCTGCATCTCTAGAGGGTCAGCATCCCTCAGGATCCTCCCAGCATCCTTGGCATTAGCATCCCTGGGACAGCATCCCTGCGGTCAACCTCCTTGGGATCAGCATTCCTGGGAACAGCAGCCTTGGCATTAGCAACCCTGGGTCAGCATCCCTGAGGAGAGCATCCCTGGTGCCTCCAGCACAGGCTGGGGAGCCAGGATCAGGCCTTGCCAGAGCTAAAAGGGAGATCCTTCCCCCACAGGACAGCCCCAGCATCACCTGCCTCACAGCCCTGCGGGGAGGCGGAGGTAAGGGATGGCACAGCCGGTGTCACCCATCTGTAAAGCACCCGTGCCTTGTGTTGGTGGCACAGCAAGCGGGCAGGCAGCACTGGCAGCATCAGGGCTCCTCCAGAACCAAGCCCTACCCCAGCTAACAGACTGGCAGGGGCCTGGCAGCATCCCCTGTCACTGTGCAGGGCAGGGGCAGGGATGGGGAGGCCAGCATCCCCTGTCACTGTGCAGGACAGGGACAGGGATGGGGAGCCCACGGCCCCCCAACCACGTGGCTTCTCTCTGGCTTTCTGCCAGGCGTAGTCTGGATCTGGCCATTTCTGTTTGGGGGAAGGGGGAAAAAAAGCCCAGGCTAAGGCTCCTGGCAATAGGAGATACCAGAACAGGGAATTAATGTTAATTAATTCATAATGACGCTGAGATAGTGATACCAGATGCTTCAAAAGTCCAATGGGGGAATCTGAAAGAGCTTTGCAAAAAACCTTCGCCCACCGGCAGTCCTGCCTCGCTGCAAGCTGGGAACAAGGGAGTGAGCTGGGAACCAGGATCGAGCTGGGAACCAGGATCGAGCTGGGACCAAAGGATCGAGCTAGAACAAGGGCACAAGCTAGGAACGAGCCAGGAACAGTGAAAGAGGGGCATGTTGCAGCGAGGTGATGGGTCCACAGTCACCCAGAGCTATGGGGGCAGCACCGGGACCCCCCCAGCCACCTGCCACCCCACTCCTACCTTTCTCCTTCCCACCCCAACTCAGAAGCTGGAGTAGGGCCAGGGCAGCAAGGTGCCTGCCGTGCTCCGCTCCCCGGGGCTCAGGGTCTCTCTGAGTCCCTTAATGCTCATTTTTTTCTCTCCATTCCTCCATTTCGGGCACACTGGGTGCAGGGCAGCCGGATGGATGAGCTCTGGGGCACGCGGGAGCCGGCAGGTGGGATGGAGGGACAGGCTCATGATCTGGGACAGGGACCCAGGTCCTTTGCCAGCCGGTGTCCCCACGCTCGGAGGACAATTCCCAGCTCCTGCAGCGAGTCGGCAGCACAAGGAACGGGTGCAAGCTGGGCTGGTTTCTCCCTTCTCATCCACGAGAGCCAGCCCTTGCCCTGCGCTGTCGAACCCGAACCGGGCTGGACCTTAGCCAAGGGGCGCAGAAGAGCCTAGAAAGGGGCTTGAGCCCCAGGTGCCACCTCTCCAGGGCTGGGGACGCTGGAGCAGATGCAACCCCGGGAAAGATGCAACCATGAACTCTGCAGAAACCACGGACAAACCCCTGGGCTTG